TCAACTTTTTCGGCTTCTCTTCATTTTGAGTTTCTTCTACCCTGTTCTTTCCTTTAACCAGGTTGGTGACAGTATGCAGGCCGACAGTGAGTTCTTCAATCCGCAGGCCTTGCTGTTCAATTCTGGTTTCTAAATGAGCAAGGTAGGTGATGAGTTGTGGCAATGATACATTTTGTCCATCCTCTCCAATCACCAAAACATTTTGTCTAATCTCCTGCACTCTTTGTTCTTGCTGATTTATTCTTTTCTGTTGTTTTTCCAGTTCTTCTTTCCTTATTCTTTCTTTGACGAGTGCTTCATCCAACTACTTGATGTTCTCATTCACGGTAGCCAGAGTTGCTGGCTGTTCCTTCTTTTCACTGCCATTTGCAACTTCAATATATCGGTCCATGATRTACTTGTCAAGTGCCTGTCGGCATTTGATAAGTACACCCTGGACTTCCACGACTTCGGTGCCAGTTTCAGCGGCTACCAGGGCAGCATGCGTGGCCTCAAGATCATACAATGACCGCACATGTGCCTCTGCCTCATCCCCAACATCATGCAAGTCAGACAACAAGATTTCCAGGCGGGCAAGAAGGACCTTTTTCCGCTCTTCTACTTGTTGACGTGTGCGAACATCAGGTAAGTTTGTCATCGGGGTCTGAGCAGCACTCTCGGTTTGAGACATTTTCAGTAAATAAATAAATCAATAAATAATCAGCAATAATCAAAAAGTATTACTAACAGTGTGTTCTTTTTCTTTCGTTCTTTACAGTATTACGTCAGGCCTTTGATCAGAGACAATCAATCAAGTGAGTACAACACCACAAACAAATTACAGGGTAAGTACACCAACACAACAATCAAGGCGTCAGTATCCTTCTTCCCCCCTTGCAATCACTCTCTTGTTGTACCCTTCCCCCTAACACTCCAACTATTCAGACGGCACTACAGCTGTCAACAACAATCAACTGTACCGCCACTGCCGTCGGAATGTATGTGCAGGTCAGAATGTCAACTCCAACACACACGCAGCAAGGTGCCACGTCAGCAATGGTACGGGAGTGACACGTCAGCGTCGTGTCCAGATCGTCCCATGTGCCTGTATACCGCAATGCTGTATCTGTACCAGCCTCAAAGTTCGACTGTGGGAGAACATGCCACGTCAACAGCTTCCAATATCCAGGTCGCAACCAAGATGCTGTACCTGCCACGTCAGGTATCAAGATTGCGACCAAGATGTTGTACCCGCCACGCCAGGGATCAGGATCGCAACCAAGATGTACTCGCCACGTCAGGTATCAAGATCGCGACCAAGATGATGTACTCACCACGTCAGGTATCAAGATCGCGACCAAGATGATGTACTCGCCACGTCAGGTATCAAGATCGTGACCAAGTTGTCTCACCAGCGTCGCAATCGCGACTGCTTTATCGCCACGTCAGCTATCAAGGTCGCAATAAAGATGTCACGTCTTCGATCGCGATTGCGATAAATCGCGATCCCAGCTGGTACTTCGTCAGTCCTTCGTCATCAAGCTTCGTCGTCAATCAGGTAAGTATCCCATATCCTTCCTTTTACCTTGTGCCACCTGGCACTCTTCTCGCACGTGCACGGTCGTGACAAGGTCGCGATCAGGATGAATGCTCCGATACCAATCTGCAATGAACCCAAGTTGCGAATACAATGTCGACACTGAAAGCCAAGATTATCGAACCAATGATAGATCTTCAACGACAATAGTATCCAGTAAGAAAGTGGGGGGTGAGATAATCATACACGGACGAAGAGAGGTGGGGGAGATTAGACAAGGGAGAGGGATAAGGCCCACTCCTTCTCCGGGYTCCTCCTACGACAGCAACCCCACATCAGCAATGATCTGAATACAAATTAGAGACTCAGCCTCCGGGTGCCRCGTGGCACCGATCAATACATCAATTAGCGCTGGAGCCTCGTCGACATGAAGACATCAGGTACGTATTCACAACACCGCACAAGTCCTGATCTCATCCCGAATAGTCACGACCCCTCMTTGAAGTAACGAAGCCGATGATCAATAGCCGGTCGTAAGGACCCGACAGTACGACACGTGGCAGCGCCACGTYAGCAGCAATACGTGGCGACTGCCACGTCAGCAGATCAGAGACAGTCGCCAGCCAGATAGCAAGCCAGCCAGCGGTAACTYACCATGTCAACAAATGCCGGCCTTCCTCCAGTCTCGCAGCGTCAAACCAAGGCTGCGAGAGTCAGGCGCTGAAAACAGCGTCAACGCAAGATAGCCAGAATTCCCCTAAAGTCAAGGAGTCAATGCTTTTATAGTGTTGACTCGGGGTCTGATCCCCGGTAGTATCCAACCTCAGCCGTCCAGATTTCCCTGCCTGGACGGTCTGGATAGATCTGCAACTGTATCCTCTTTGGCCTGGGTCGTAGTCTGGGTACCTGCACTCAACAAGTGAATGAATCTGATCCAAGACCTGGCATGGTACTTTGACTGAGAGTTGACTTTGACCTTTGATTTTCCTAAGTCTTGGCGTTCGGTCCCACAGCCGTACGCAGTTTACTCAGGCCGGGGCATGTGTTGGTCACACAGCCCGGCGCAGTCTTCCACAGACTGCGTGGCCTGGGGCTAAGGTTTGGGCCCCAGGTCGACTGCTGAACAGGGTTATTACAGGTTGTATCAGGAGGTAGATGAGAAGCACTGCCTGCCGAAGATCCACTGCACCGAATGTTGAGCTGCTGGGAGAGAAAACCTCTTCGCCTTATACCTGGCGCCGGATTTCTGCTGCTGACGGCCTAGTCTTCCCCCTGCAGGCCTGA